TTGTGAAATGAATAGCATACATTGTGTACTATTCCAAGAAAGAAAATTATCACATAAATACGAACTGTCTTTTCATTTCAACAGAGTACCCGATATGCAGCAATCGTCACTGACCCTCCCCCCCCCCTTACACTTTGATGTAAGTTTCTATATACCATATTTCATCGAACAAGTAATAACACATACCGTTTTTCAGCGTTTCTTTAACATAGAATCCATCCTCATCAAAAGAATCTAGGATTCTCTGCCCAGGCTTTCCTCTGCATCTTTTTTCGACATGTTTATTATATCCCGCTTCAAAACAATTGGACTTCCGCTCTCTTTACACACGCGCATGCGCATTCTAGATGTGTGTAACGTCAGAGGTGTGTAAGTGAAGATGGCAACTTCAATCCGCACGATATCTGTGTAATCATGTGTTCGATGAAACCCCGAAACTGGGACACGTTATTTTTTTTACTTTTTTAGGATTAAGACATGTCAATTTTTCATTTTAAACGATAAAAAAGTTTGGGGACTTGATTCAAGTCTCCAATGTTTTTTATGTCCCCAATTTACGACTTGCGTATCTGTCGAAGGTCCCCAATATGGCCTTCCCACACACGCACACACACACACCCTCACACACACACACACACACACACACACACACACACACACACACACACAAAACAAAACAAAAAAAAAGGTATAATTAGAGAATACACGAGAATTATTTCGAAATAAAATTATTAGATAGAAAAGATAGGAGAAAAAAAAATCTATCCTATACTTACTCCACTATCTCTTATGTCGTCTTTTGGACAATTTCAAGGCATTTGCTTAGTTTTTAGTAGTTTCCTGAGTATTTGAAATTGGAAAGTGGTAAATATAACACAGGAAAAATGGCGAAATTTGATGATGTTACGGCGCACCGGAGAGCAGTTCAATTTGACTTAGATGTAGTAATGACGCACTAAGAGACTTGAAATGACTACAGAAGAAAAAAAAAATACAAAAATTACTAGAATTTTAGTATAAAGTGAAATGGGATTTTTCTAAGCGAAATCTTTTTGATGGAGTCCACAGGTAGAAAAAAACAGCTAGTACTGGCACTGTTACTGTAGACCGTCGATGTAATATAGCATATTTAGTTGATTGATAGTGAGAGTACTGTCCATTAATTTCTTATAAAGGTCCCATGTGTGTGCCAAATTGATTCCTCGACTGTTTATGTAGGAATAAAGGAAAACGCAAGTATATGCATCAATGAATTTTCCGAATTTATGCAGGGCTTATCCAACCTTTTTTAGCAAAGACGAAACGTGACACTGCTTTAGACAATTTGACGTTATCATCCGTGCGCCGTAAGGCGATACCACATTTAGTATAAAATCTAATAATTTGTTTATTTATGCATATATCTATTTGAAATTTGTTATGTATATTGATGAAAAATATAGTAAAGTGTGGTGAAAATTCTAGAACGCAGTAATGATTATTTTTTCACTGTATACAACTTGCCCACGATTTTACCGGACAACCCTCTTATATATATATATATATATATATATATATATATATATATATATATATATATATATATATTTTCTATATTAATATTTCTTCACTTAGGGCAGTTATGTTAGTTTAAGAGTTGTTGTAAAATGTGCTTTACATGTATAAATGAAAATTAATTTCATTACAACGTGTATTGGTAACGATCCTCTAATAAAACTAATGTCCAAATAACTGTATCTCACTTCCATTCTCAATGACCGTGTAGTGTAGAGCAGCGCCGCGAGAATTCCATCGGCATCGAAAGCAATTTTTTTTGACTTGCCTAGATAGCCGAGCGGTCTAGCGCGCTGTTCCTGTACTGCTAGGAGACAGATTCCGTAGGTCGAGAGTTCAACCCTGGGCTGGGGCGGAAGTGGGTATCCTTATAAAAGTGAATTTCTTTGTGCTTTCTATATATATATATATATATATATATATATATATATATATATATAAAAGTGTGTGTGTGTTTGTGTGTGTGTGTGTGAAACCGTAATAGAAAGCTAGTCTTACAATTTAATTAAGCTTTTATAATTTAATTTAGTATACATCATTGTGTCATTTTCTTTTTGAATATTTGATGTCTACATTTATGACTTTTTAAATTTTATAGAGCAATCCTACAATGAAAATGCCAAATACAACTATGATTTGCAATATGAATAAAACAACTCCAAGCCAGAACCATACATTGGACACTATCCCTGTAAATAATGCCTCTCTTGATCATGCCTTTCAATGCATGGATGCGTCCCGATTGAGCGATTATCACTGGGGAAAGTACATTTTCATAATAGGAACAGTGACTTTCGGCATCGGATTTGTTGGAAACATCATTACCCTATTGGTAATCGTCAGAATGCAAAGGCTGCACACCCCAACCTACACCGCCATCGCCTGTTTATCCCTCTCCGACTTGTTTGCCTTAATGTCTCGCTATATCATGATTTTACCTGAGCCAGTAAGCTCATACTTTGATGACCCCTCCAGACAATCTGTAGCTTACATATTCATTCTTCTATTCTTGCACTCTGCAAACTTTCATATGGTGTTGATATCCTACATTCGGTATATATTCATTGCATGGCCGCTAAAGAGTCTTAAAATGGGGTGCAGGAAAATTGTAAAGCTTTCTCAAATTATATGGATGTTTTCATTTGTTATGACTGGAATATACAGTCTTCAAGCGATATTAAGCATCAACAATATTTTATCTGAAAGTATGAAAAACTGGTGCGAATTAGTTTTTGCTGTATATATCGGTGGTGTTCCTTTTTTCATGATACTTTATTTTCATGTTAGAAAAATCTATCATATGCATAGGCTACCTCTAGCAGAGAGAGAAGATAGGCTTCGTCTTGTCCGTTCAATGTCTGCAATTTTATTGGTGATATTAATAATTTATTTTTTGTCCATTACATATCCCTTTATTTATACAATACTTGATGCGTTATATTACACAAACACGGGAGGCTTGTCTTCTATTGCATTTCAACAATTATTTGATTTCTTTCTCCTGTTTAATAACAGCGTGAACCCTTTGATTTATTTCTTTTTTTCACTCCGAGCTTCTAGACTATTCTCAAAGTCCAGAAAATTCGCTAATAGCAGTATTCGTTCGCAATTATCATCTACAAACTTTTAGATAAGAATACAAACTTAGTAAACACGATGTTTATTTTGTAGATTGATATGATGGCATTTATTGTTCGTAAGTTATCGTGTAATTTGTAGTGCTCTTAGTAATATAGATAAGAAATCGTTGTCAAAGATAACTGTTATTAAAAATTTAAAATAAAACATTAATGATGTTGTGTTTTATTTTTATTAATTTTCCTGATAAATTTCTAATAGTTAATGTACTTTGATTTAAATTGGAAAAAAAGAACATACTGTAAAATCATATATTTTCGTGGGGTCAAATTTTCGAGGTATGAGAAAAAATATTGGTTTTGTGGGGACTTGATTCCGCAGTTGGAGAATGTATAGTATAGTAATGCATCTGAAATTTTACATTTCGTGGTCATAAATTCGTGGGTCTCTCCATACGTCAAAATCAACGAAACCTAAAACCCAAATTAGTGATTTCACGTTAATTATTGTGAGAAAAAACAAATTGATGCTTAATTTATGTGCATACATAGAGTGGCATTCAGTGTATCAAGATTTGTCTAATACAAAATTTATTTAGAAAAATTATGTTAAGATTTTCTCTAAGGTAGCTTAAATATTGAACACAGTCTTTCTTGAATTAGTACTTAAAAGTACTGGTAAAATTTTAGAATAAACAAGCTTTCCGAGAGTATTGCATAATTAATACTATTCCCCTACCGAGAAGTGTAATCTGGTTCCCCTAAAAAAAAGGTCATAAATCGTTCAAAAATCATTGAAGAGGACAAAAATTCAAACGATCAATAACTCATTAAGGAAGACTCAAGTATCAAAATCAAGGAAATATCTGCAAGCGTTTAGGGGATAAAATGCTGGAAAGCAAGTAAAAGATTTTGTTTCCCTTAAAAAGTAAAAAAAAAAAAAGGATTTGTCCATCAAAGATCATCGAAGTGCGGAACGAAATTCAAACTTGATCAGTAACTCATTAAGGTACACTCACGTGTCAAAAATCAGCTAAATATCCTCAGATGTTTAGGAAAAAAATCGGAAAGACTAACAGACAGAAAGACGGACAGACGATAAGAAAACCTGTTTCATGGGTAGAAGACTAAAAATATTAGAGCATCATAATGTGATGCACCGTTTTAAATTGTTAAATCAAAGGGTTTTTTTCCATTAAGGATATGCGCTTCAGCGTTAAATAAAAAAAACAACTGAGATAAATATCTATCAAAATAACAGTAACTTGATCCGAAGAACTGGATCTAGTCGAGTTGACAGGCGCGGATCATCAGATCAAGCGATAGGCGAAGCGAGTATTCTGAATACAATGACACAATCTCCAAATATGGATAAACACGAAATGCATTTATGTGTGTGTGTGTTTTGCCTTTCGTTGATAAGAAAAAAATGTTTTAGCATGATTAGTAATAAGAACTTTTTTTCATCTCTGATAGACATAAGCCTTCCTTATAAATTGTTAGAAAATGTATTATTTCTTTCACAATCCAAAGTTGATGATTAGATTAACCTGAATATGTCACTGCAAGATTCTTAAGGAAAATTATGATTAAACAAGTTGCAAGGCTAATCATTGAATTAATTACTTTAAACACAGCTGCCATTCATACATTCTCTCTCACCTAGAAGTCTTACAAGAATCTGGTACCTCTGTAAATTACTCAAGAAAGATATTAACACTAACCATCATTCAAAAAGTGTTTAAGAAATGATAATTCCAGACACTAAGTATGATCAACTTTTATGTTTTACTCTGACATATAATTACAGATGAGGAATGAATAAGTAGAATTATGCCATAAAAGCAAAGTATAAAGATCAAAGTACAAACAAAAAAATTATTAATTATTACTACTTCATGGCCTGGTAAATGATTCATATAATCTCAAAAAAATTAGCTTTGAAGTACGCTGGAGCTTTCACCAACATATGAGAAAAAAAGTGTATTGTTACAAAGAGTTTTCATGAATTGAAAAATTATTGTTGCGAAGCAACAGCAATTGCAGCTTTTTAAAGTTCTTTTCTAAGGTCATATCCGAAAGACCCGTTTCACTTCAAATATCGACCGCTTTGTAAAGGAACAAAGACAAAGATTTGGCAAAGCGCTAGGAAAAAAATCTGTTGTTCTAGTTCTTTATATCCTACTTAAAAAGAAAATGCACACATGGAATGGAGAATATCCAGAAGTTCCGAATCTGATTTCAAGTTTAAAATGGGCGATTTCATATCCTACAATTTAATATATCAGTGAAATAATTCGCTTCAAAAGAGGAAAATTATCCTGTCTTAAAATTAAAGCGCATTGGAGAAAAAATAATAGTCCAATAATTTTCCTGCACAAAAGAGTAAACTGAGTCCATCTACTATTTTGTAGCTTTTCCTATTCACTATATTCTCAACACCTAGTCACTTGATTGATCCATTATGGATGTTGTCTTTTTCTTAACTGTTAGGCAGAAAAGTCCGACTGCTCTCTTCCGAAACAAAAGCGGTGCCTGTTGCGAAGAAAGATGGCAATTAACTTGGATGGAACATACTTGTAATGTTATCATTATTAAAAGTCGCCCATTCATTTTTTTTTTTTTTTTTTGCTACATCTGTTCTACGTCTGTCTAAGCTAGCACTTTGGTATATAATTATGAACATATTTTTTTCTCGTTTCTGACTTTCAATATTCGAGACAGAAAAAAAAAAAAAAAAACTAATCGCAAAAGTTTTATCAGTGTGAAATAAAGTGAAAATTTGTCAATAATGCATTTTTTTTTCTTTTGACTAATCTTTTGAAGAACTTTGCTTATGTGAGTGTTCTCCAATGCTAATCAGAGATGACAAATGAATAAACAATTGTTTATTATGGAATGTTGATTCCATCCCCATTCGCTGCTTTGTGGTATATTTATAATTAAGCTTATTTACTTTACATGTCATTATTGTATGTACATATGATTCTCATTTTAAATGTCGGAAATAAAGTAAAACAATACGATAAATGTTAATCATCTTTAATAGAAAGTAATTAAAATATTTACCTGCATTATGATTATTCTGTATTCTGTAAAGCCTCCAAAGAATGATCGATACAGCGACACTAATTGCCATAACTGCTGAAATTCTAGAATTATTCAGTAGATTTGTGAAATAAAATAAGCTGAATTTGCAAAGACTGTCCTGACTGAATTAATCTAACACATTTAAAGGAGTAAAAAATGACTTGCCTACTGGCCACCCCCTCTGTCAAAGGGGAGTAAATTTAACAATTAATGTTAGTGACTAAGCACAATCCAAAATAAATTTAATTGGACTATCTTGGATCAATCATTTCAATTTCAGATCTTTTCTTTTCAAAATTTGAAGAAAAAAAAATGTGCAAAAATCAAAGAGTTTTTTTTAACATTTTGATTAAAAAAATAATTCGTTATCGAGAATTTGTTTAGTCTAACGGTATAAAATATTTTTTGGCAAATAGTCCTTGGTTTTGCTTGTAATCAAACTCTTAATGTAATGACAAACTATAAGTAGCAGGTCCTCAGGAAAGGTATATAGTTGACCCTAGGTAATAAGAACAATTCACCGCTTCGAGGAAAACTACATAAATTAAAGGACTTTTCAGTAATCTGGAAGCTTCACTAGCTTGGACGATTTGTTGGGAAGACAAGTTCTCCCATAAAGCAGGTTTACTGTACATATAAAGTGTTATTGCACCCTTTTTGAATGGCCTGTGGTAGGTATGTACGTTTTGCATGAAATGAAATATGAAGATAACGAACAATAAGGAAGACTCAAAGTATAGCTATTGGGTGTGTGTATGTATGTGTGTGTGTCGGGGGGGGGGGGGGGGTCACATAGTTAAGTATTACACAGAAATAAACTCTAATACATGTACAAACGAATTCAAAATAATTTGATTTCAAAGAGACAGTACGGCGCATCCTATCAAAATACAGACTTAATAAAATTTTCCGATAGGATTTGTATTTTTTTTTACTTCGCATAAATGTATGTACGTTTCTACATTGACAAAGTCATCCAAGAAGAAAAAAAAAACTGAAGAAAGATTGAAAAGCGAATTTCCCGACCAAAATTTAGTTAGGGGATTCACATTATCGCTGAATGAGGAAGAAACGGGAGCTTGGGGAGATTCACGCAGGGCGAGAATGTGCTCCTGAATAGGTTCCTTGATACATTTGACCATTTCTCACATCTCCATCTCATTAAAAATAAACTAAATTAAACGTAAGAATACATCTTTGATATAAAAATAACATTGCAAATTGCAAATTGCAATTATCAATGTGCAAATTTTAATGGAATTGTCCCTAAAATATTTTTTGACGTTTTGACTGGTAGTTTTCCCTTCTCGGATTCTAATACACAGAACGTCAACATTGGTATTTTCATTCTTCACAATTCGTTTTAAAGCAGATTACAAAGTTCACGACTAATAATTCATCAGAAAATTTTTGAATTTTTGCTTCTGGGAATTGCTCTTATTTTTTGGTAATTGTGGTTTTACAAAAAAAAAAAAAAAAAAAAAAAAAAAAAAAAAAAAAAAAAAAAAAAAAAAAATTATTTTTGTAATCTGTAAAGTTTAAGCGTGTCGTTCAGAATTCAGTGGAATAAATAAGCAGATTTAAAATTGCCCCGGTTTCTACGACTCTTAGATTCTCGGCAGATTCTTATTACGTTAATTTTGTATGAAGAGAGAATAATTATGTTTCTCAAACTGTTGACATTAACTTTATAGTTTACTTTTTAATGACTTATTGGGCAAAGAATGAAAAAAAACACGTTTTGCAGCCGTACTGTAGCTTTAATAATTATAGAACAGCCGTGGAAACATTTCAGATAGTACTTACGAAACTATGATCGCTATTCTCATATCCATCTCCGACATTTGAAGATTGGGATAATGTGAAATGAGATCTGACGTTTTTTGTCCACCCGTTGTTTTTGAAATATTATAACATCCTTGATCTATAATTTCATATATATATATATATATATATATATATATATATATATATATATATATATATATATATATATATATATATATATATATATATATATATATATATATTCAATTGATAGCTAGCAAAACATCTATATTTAGTTATTTGATAAAAAAAATGCCAAAAAGCCATCTTATTAATCTTATGTAATTATATATAGTACATATTTTCTATATTCATGAATAAAGCTATAGTTGGGTATGAATCAAATTAAGTCATTTATCAAGAAAAAAAATTGTGTATAAATGTCAAGTATATGCCCAAAATGATATGCTACGTACACATGTATGAATCTGAAGAGTTGTATACGTCTGGACACGGGGGCTTATGCGCTGAACACATTTTCATACCACTGCTTTGTATTCGCATCGCTCCATAGTTATATTCCGCACATTTCCCATCTAAAAGAATAATTAAAACAAAAGAAAAATAAGAATATGAAATATTTAAATGGCTGAACCTTCTCTCTCTCTCTCTCTGAACGCAGCTTTATATAGGTTTATTAATGACGCCTCTTACAAACTGAAAATGATAAAAGAAGTTAAAAAATAAAATATCACCTGCTCCTTTGTACGTCAAATGGCATGGGCGATTGACATTGATTCCCTTAGTAGAAAAAATACCTACGAACACACAGCTACTGTGGATAGTGATTTACGATAATAACGCAGACCATCGAAAAACTGCGAGTTCGCCCCTTGAATTTAGTAAGAGTTTTGTCTATAGCAGGCTTAAGTCAATATCCATATACCCCCCCCCCCCCCTCTGAATGTAGTAAGAGATTTCCCGATAGCGTACCAATATTAATCTTCAGATAGATTGAGACTTGTTCTTCACCTGTTTACACAGGATCAAGGTTAACTACAAATTGCAAGCATTAGTGCAATTCCGGATTTGTGTGGAGTTGATCAAACTTTTCTTAGCAGAGACTAGCAGACATTAGAAACTTTGACGCTATTAACCAGCGCAAAAATGGGATACTATGTATATATGACATAAATACTATATATATATTTTGTTTATTTGAGCATACAATTATCTATCTGAAAAATGATCTATGTTTTGATGAATGTTAATACTAAACAGTTCTGAAAGTTTTAGCACGCATCGTTGATTATTTACAACCAAGACAACATGTCAACAATTTTATTTAATAACCTTCGTGTTTTCTATGCAGCATTCAAATGAAAGAATAAGAAGAAATGCGGATACGACATATAGTTTAACACTTACATAAAATAAACCTGTTGACTGCGCAAACTTCAAGCGTACTATTACCCCATTCGTTGATAACGCAGTGATATTCATATTTCACATTTCTTGATCTATATAAGGCAGAACAATTTTTCTTTGTAGATGCTTTCAGCCACTCTTCTTTTGTTGTAGGACAGGACTTAACTTCTATAGCTGTTTCTTGTAAACTGTACATGGTACCTGACAGACCCTGTTTATCATACATACGTTAAGGTCAATGTTCCTCAAAATATTAATGTTTTTTTGCGAGTATACTATACATGTAGTACATGTTACATGTAATGTAGCAGTATCTCAATAACAAAATCTTGGGAAAATTATAGTCATATATTCTTGAAGGAGTTACATGTATCATCTAACCTCATTATAGATTTGATATTTATAAAAACATAAATTGAATCTTTAACATGTTCTAAATCTTTCAAGCCTCCAAAAAAAATTAAATGTTTAAAAAGGATAAGCATTTCAATATTAAATTAAGTTTCATCTTATTTGTATTTCTCGTCTATACATTCAAAATGATAAAAAAAAATCTTACCTGAAAGGTATATATCGTTATCAAAGCTATTACATCATAGGATGCTAACATTTTCTTTCCTACTGAAGACTCTAATGAGAGTGATGAAACTCTTTGGACTTGAAGCTGACTACTTCTTCGTTAGGTAAGCGTGAAACTCATAATAATGCTTTGTGACAACTGGAACATTTAAGAAATAAACAAAGTTATTCAGTGAACATGGCGTTATGAATAGCAATTGCTCTGCTGGCATATTCCATGATGCGCGTTAGCATTTATTTGAGGGTAAATGGCTGGAAGCATCAACTAAAACTGAAATATATAAATTTGATATTTTACATATTTTTTTACGATATGATTTTCTCATTGTCTAATTCTTCATTGATACATGGAGGGTCCTTAACGTCATAATTAAACCAAATTTGGTTAACGCATATAAGATACATGTAATTGTCAGCAAATACAATCTGTCCTAAGTCATATGCTGACTGACGTTTTTCATACTAATTGTTTGTGCTCCTTTTGGGACCTGTCGAAAAGGGATGTGATCCCACCTACTTGTATGGTGTTTCCAGTGGGCTATGTTTTAAGCTTTTTTTCCACAAATCGCATTCCCTCTTTGGATATATGAGATTGATCACAGTTCATTATCATCACTTTTCACATCACAGATTTCAAATAAAGTTGTCTGTTAAAAATAATCAGTGACAGAAAAGGTGACTTTGCAAGACATAAAAAAGCGCAAAATATTTTTTCGATGAAGAACTTAAAGTATAAACATCAACAATTAGATTACATACACTTCTATATAGGTCATATTAAACGTTACACTCAGAAAAGTAATGACCAACTATCAATTAATTGTCTTGATGATTCCAGAATAATTAGAATTTTTTTTTTATTTTAAAGTTATTCTACTCTCTGCTTTTCGTGGCAATCTTGGTACCTTATAGTACTTTAAACGAATACTTCTATTTTCAAATATTGAGATATACTCTAATTCTAATCAAGAATATGGAAATGCAAAATATGTATTCCCTATACATACTATACATGAACATGTACAAACAAAAAACTAAAACTAATGTAAATACAGGTAACTGCCTTAAATTAAGGAATGATTTCATATCTTTATCGTAATAAGGGAATAAAAAGATAAAATTTGATTTTAGGATTTCAAAACTCTGTTCAATCATAAGCTATCAATAAATATTCAAATCAATTTCTTACTTGTAAATGCATAGGTTCCTCCAAAATACTGATCATAATTATTTTCTTCACGATTTTATACTTTTATAAACTTTTAAGAAAGGAAGCTTAAATTTATTATTTTCCCCGAAGTACCTTGTAACCCTTATATAATCGTAAGCCATAAATATTTAAATATCTATTTATACATTCAAAAGCCTCTCAAATGCATTGGATTACGGAAACGTATTGCAGTCAGTTGAAAATATTTTTTGCTATGTCGTACGAAGAAGATACTTAGTCGTACGTACGATGTATTAAGCCGTAGGTACGAGATAATAAGTCGTATTTACGCGATAATACGAGGGGTGATCAAAAAGTTCGCGAACTATCTCTATAATTAAAAAAAAACACAATTCAGATCAGAATGAAATTTGGCACACATTTAGTCATACATGTGTTCTATAAATAGCACGGGTTATGTTATGTTTTGCTCCATGCTTGTGACGTCACAATTTGAAAATTGGTAGGTTACTTGTGACAAAAAAATGACTGACTCAGTCGTACTCGACCAACGGACGCCTGTAAAGTTTAATGTGTATCTTCGAAATTCCTTTGCAGTAGCATATAATAATTTGTACAAAGTTTATGAAGACAAGAGTCTTGCCAGGAGTTCAAACATTAATTGGATTGATTGTTTTAGTGAAAGAAGGGAGATGGTTAAAAATGATGTTTGTTCTTTTGCCCAGTGAAAGCAAGCTGGGGAAGAGATGTGTCCTTAGTTGAGCAATTTGTTACGGAAGACCGCCACGTTACAGTTAGAAAAAAAATAGTTGAATATCTTAAGAATAATATAGTTATTAAATCCTTAAAATATCGTTTTCTTTAAACTTTAAATATATGAGATATGATAAAAAGAAGGCACCCGTACTTAATCCACATTGGATAAACGACGCTCCCAAGACATGGGCAGAACGGTGGCAGTTGTGCATTAAAATCGGAGAGGACTACTTTAAAAAATATTGAACACTGAAACCTAATTTGATTTCTTTTATGGAAGTAATTCAATTAGTTCGCGAACTTTTTGATCACCCCTCGTATGTCGTATTACGAGATACTTAGTCTTCGAAAGGACAAATGTCCTACTTACGAGATAATAAGTCGTACAAACGACATACAGTAAGTCGCACATACGACATACTAAGTCGTTTGTTTGTTTGTATGTTGTTTTACGTCCCTCTCGAGAATTTTTCACTCATGTGGAGACGCCACCACTTGCCGGTGGAGAGCTGCAAATTTTTTCCTATACTCGGCACTTACGGCCATTGAGCAGTGAGGAATCTTTTTCGTTCCAGTATCTACTGCGACACGGGGCCTCGGTTTTTATGGTCTCATCCGAAGGACCGGCCTCCACGTCCCACAGTGGGATTCGAACCCGTGACGTAAGGATCAACTCCTAACGTCGCGACTCTAGAGCAGACCCTCTAACCACTGCGCCACGCGGCATACTAAGTCGTTACGTGTATAACGAGATACTTATTCGTAATAACGAGATATTTAGTCTTAATAACGAGATACTAAGTCATACGTTGTAATAACGAGATACTAAATCCGTCGGATGAGACCGTAAGAACTGAGGTCCCGTTTCCCAGTAGGTGCTAGTCTAAAAAAAAAAATCCCTCACTGCTCAAATGCCGTAAATGCTGAGTACAAGTCTAAATTTGCAGGCCTCCACCGGAAGCTCAGTATTAGGAAAAAATCTTACTAGGGCTTTTTCCTTAGTAAAATAAAAAATTTTGTACATTGTTGCAAGGAAGATTTATTGTTGCCTTGGTAACAGATAGTGCAAAGTTTGATACGCTTTCCCATCCCCAATATATACGATGAAAAACATAATAGGGTATTTTTTTCCCAACATTAACGGGATGCTCTCTTTGTTGAATCTCGTTTTTACAACTTACTTTATGTCGTTTGTACGACTTTTTATCTAGTAATAAGGACATTATGTCGTTTCTATCTTAGTATCTCGAACGTACAACATATTTTCTCGTAACTACAACTTATTATTTCGTGTGTACGATTTGGTATCTCGTTCGTGTCTAGTACGTAACATAACAAAAATATTTTCAATTGGCAGCAATACGCTCCCATAGGGTACGTCTTCGTTTTTAAAAGTTCTCAAAATTATACAAATGAGTTTATTTTTATCTCAAGAAAGTTTAGTTACTTCAACAATAATGTTATATCTAATCATTGTCCAGAATGCAATTTGTTACATTGTATATACAAACGTTTCTAGAATAGCTACATTGTTGGCAAAAATGGATGGATAAAAAGATCTTAGAATTATATACAAATTTTAAAATTAATCTGAATAATGTATGTCATAAATATTGTTTTCCTTTACGTTAAAAATTGTCACCCTGAAAATTATCTTAACTTTAATTAATTAGTACATTGAGTCATTGAAAAAAGTGATCAAGGAAGTAAAGCAATTAAAAATAGTAGATTCAAAGATTAGATTTATATGTATATATACACGGGGTAAAGTTATACAGGGTAACTTGATTAGCATTTTAAACCGCCTATGCCTATTGAATTTGCGTGTTGTTTATCATTCAAACCCGGAAGAATGAGCCCTGAGTGCAATCTAGTACACTTAAAATCATGGGGTATTTAAAAAGTATGTTATCAGATATCAATCTCCCTCTATGTGAGGACTATAATATGGTATATTTAAATTTCTAGTTATTGAGTATCTACGATAAGCACGAAGGTTAATTTTAAATATTAGGAAATCTCTCTCTTGTACATTTGTAAAACATTTTCCAGCTTTCATTTTTTTTTATTTAAGGACCCTTTATACACCAGTGCAAAATGTTTTTTGGACATTCAGAAAATCATTCTGTATATAGGTGTAAATTTTGAGCTTATCTATATAATTTTCAATATATGGAACGTGGCATTTACCCCCAGGAAAAATGTTCAAAGACATTATAAAATTAAAAACTTATGCAACCGATCACAAGACTTAAAAGTAATAAGTTGGACAGTTACTGAAAAATCGAGATTTAAAATTTTCATTTTTTCATTTTTTTATGCTTCGTATGTCCTCAATAGAAGTGGTTACCAATTTAAGGAAGGGGCACTTTTAACAATGTGCTACCCCCTCCCCCAGCTCATGTACAGCCATAATATTTTATTGGTGGGATTGGTCTCAAGGAAAAAGCACTCTATTACACTGAGTAGGACCCCCACCCCACCCCCCACCCCCGGGAAATTGAAACTGGGATGGGATTTCCTCAGGGAGAATCCTACTCTAGAGTCATTTTGTCATAATGGAAATCCTACTCTAGAGTCCATTTTTCGAGGGAGGGGATTTTTAGAGGGGAAAGCCTACTCTACAAGACCGGTACATGTAAATATTGATGCACAGATACATGTATCACTGTTGTTTACTTAATTGGGGGAAATACATGCAA